AAGGTGCCTGCGGGCTTTAAAGCAGAAATACAAGGAAAGTGTTTAAAAGATTTAAAACACATATATAGAAATAATCAACCAGTCAAAAAGATTTGTAATTATGTAAACCCAATTTAGTTTACTACTTTCCATAGGATAGATACCTAAGTGCCACAGGAATAAGAAGTAGGCACCCTCAGGGTCCTAGAGGAGTAGAGGATTGGCTCTTCCATATCTCCTGCATTACGACTGGTTACTGAGCCCATCCAGCCCATTTAGGGATCATTGGGGAGGTAGGGAAGGCAGCAGGGGAAGGCCCACTCCTTTGCATTCCTTGCCCAACTCAAGGAAGGGAACACCCTGCTTTTGTCTCCTGTCAGCAAGCTTCCAATGTATGACTGGCATCACTCTGGAATGCATCAAAGCCTGACTGGCTTCGGTATCTTGTTGCAGCCTTAAAGTGACAATGCATATTCTTTTGACTACTGCCATATTCTCACTATGGAGGCAGGTATGCCTTTTTGGGGGACTAGAGAAAAGAAGGTTAAAAGAGATTGCATATTAGTCTAACTTTGGGGTCACAATCTAAATGAGAGAGAGGAAGAGCTTACCAGACTCTCTCTGCTTGCAGAAAACCTAAAGGTAATGTTGAACTTTCTTTTTAAACAAATCAGAAGCCAGGTATACCCCCACCATTTTTTTTATTGACTTCAAGGCAGATTATGACTGTATAAACTGGGAAAAGCTTTACTAAGCATTCTAACCATTTCAGATTGCAGCAAATTGGTGAAACTGACTAGACAAAGAGCAGGGATCTTTGTGTATCCAGTCGTTTCTCTGGACCACTAGAAACCATACAGTATATGGGTTAACAGGGCAAAACTTTTGTTGTTCAAGATTCAAGTATCCACATTAGAAGAATTATTTCTGTAAAACCATGCAGAATAAAATATTATGATGAGATTTGTTTGGCATTAAGTACAGCTAGGTATTAAGAGTTTGAAAAGACCATGTAATTGCTCATTGTTGTGACAATGACTTATTGATATTACAGCAATGTATAATTTTACTTACTGGTTCAAATTAATGTATGTACTTTGTATTACATTTTACTGAAAGTGTGAAGAAAAAATACTTTTTCTTTATTGTCCATTGAGAAACACAAATATTCTACAAACTGCTGTGCTATATGCTACTGCTGACGGAGGGTTTGGACACTGGCAAACAGAAAAAAAAATGTTAAAGTCTACAAAGCCCCACCTTTAACCATCCTGCCTTTAATCAACATACTTGATATACTGTAAATAATTTTTCTTCAACGACTTCAATCAAGACATCTCTACACAGCAGCTATCTGGCTCAATCTATACCTGGACCCCACTGGAGTGGAAGATTGCAGTGCTAGCCTGAAATGTGACCTTCCAGCATTGGGCTTTGCATTGAGACACTTTTCAGATCTGGTATGGTATGGTCTCTAAAGATTCACAGTGTGAATAGGCCTCAGGATGAGGTGAGGCTAGTCTGGAATGTGACCTTTGAGAAATTGGCTCTGCGTTCTGGTGCTTTCAAAGCCTTCATGTACTGTGTTAGTTGGCTTCAGATCATTTTCAAGACTCAGAGCCATGCAACAGCCTCTGATATCTGAGGACTCATACTTAGTAAGACTGGTCAGACTGAAACACCACCACCTCACTTTTGTTATCATTGGATCCCATTTAGCTCTGTTTTCAGGCCTGAGGCCACCCCAAATCCACTAAGGACTTATTGTTTTTTGTGCTCAGCCACTGGATCATCGTGTCAATTGATGTTCTTATCATGCTTCAGCGCCATCTCCTACAGAGCCTATCTTTAGCCCTCCTGTGACTGTCAGCCAAACTGAGTCTGCAGCCCCTGCTGTCATTTCTGATTTGGATTTAGAAACCTAACAGCCAGACTTGAATATAATATGTTTTTTTTAGCCTTATTGATGCAGTACATATCACACTGCATTTGGAGGATCAGCCTGCTGTTATAGACCTTGTTTTTTTTAGATTGCCTACATCTGCAAAAAGCCTTCTGCTACACTCACTGTTTGAGGGCTTGTGCCCTTCATGGGAAAGATGTCTGCAATGTGTAGTACACTCTAGGTATGTGCATAAAGCGCTGATGAGACCTCCAAAGAACAACTGATTAAGATAGTTATATTACTCCAACTGTTGGTGGTTTCTTGGCTTACAGTTTCTGCTGGTGCTGACTCCTTCAAGGTAGTCATTTTGTTTGATGATGATTCTTCTCCTGGTCAGAGCATCAACTTGATTACATTGATTAGACTAGATTGATAGTTAGATATCAAATTGATTCTTTGTGACCTCCTATGCATCCTTAGCAGTGCTCCCTCAAGAAAGTCCTATCCCCTATTGACTGTTCATCTAATTATTGTTGTTGGAATATTTAAGAAGCAGTATAAGAGGTGCAGGAAACACAGGCTGGATCAAGAAGGAGAAGGTGTAGCAATTGTACGTACAGAGATGGATGCGAACCTCCATTTTGCCAAAGGCCCTCCATCTTGTATCATTTCTACTCCAAATCATCTCCCCCCCTCCCTCTCTGTTGACTGACATGTGGTCCATGTGTGCTGGGTTCAGAAGTGCACAGGCAATCAGGCACAGCGGGACAGCTTCATGGTTATAAATCCCAAATTAGCTTGTGCCCGGGTGTCTGTTAGCTTCTCAAACTGAGATTATCGTAAAACCATAAACCAGTCCTTCACTGGGCTTCAAACGCATTCCTAGGTAACCGTAAAACAGACCTCACATTTAAAACCCACTTTTCCATATAATTTTATATCTGGAGATGGGAAATAATTACCAGAAAACCAAGCATATATTTGGAAAGCTCAGTTTAATGCGGGTCGTCTGATATCTTACACCCCTGGTTGAAGTCTACAGGAGAGCAGAAAGCCATACAGTTCTAGCTGGAATAGTAAAATTCATCTTTAATATCTAGACGTTCAGCAGATGATTTTGCATATTAATCTACCCGTGGATAGAATGTTACATGTACCTAGGGAAGGTTATTTCCCATGGTATAACTTGCGAGGGATTTTGGTTCTAGCCTGAGTCCCCCCGCCTCAAACACCCCTCCCCAAATGAGGCGATTGGCTCTCTGCTGTAAGGGGACACCCTGCTTTCCTAGAAAAAGGCTGTCAGGTTTGGAGAAGTGGAAGTTGAAGAATTCTTTTGCTCTGAAACTTGATCTTCTTAACCCAGGACTTTTGGCAACTACTCTACCTCTCTAAACTTCTTCTTCTATACTTCTATATATATTGGCTACATCTTTTCTGGAAATAAGTTTATTGCACCATTTTGACATTTTTAGTAATAAATCTTATTTTCTGAAAAATGTTGAACTGTTTCTAAAGCTCTTTAATGCAAACTAAGAATCCCTGTCTCTGAAGAGCGCTACTGTGTGTTTTAAACTTCTGTATATCTCTGCCTGCGGTGACAGTGTGTATACAGACGCTTATTCAAACATCATAGTGTTATTGCTAATATTGGCGAGTTTCCTCCTTTTCTCTACAAAAAGGCGGTGGTGGCAGTGTGAAGGGTTAATTGTGTAATTAACCTGACCCAGTAACAATTGCGCTCAGGCTGCAGGTACATAGATTGTGGTCCATTAGCTGTAAAATATATGTGCAGGTTTCAGCTGAGCGTAGCATTGTTACACACGTGACAGCGCGGTTTTAGATTGGCTAGTCCTTCGGTCATGAGTTGGTGAGAGGGGCTGGTGGTCTGATGCCGTGATCGTCACAGAAGGGAGATCATTACTTTACAGCTTTCTCTCTAGCAATGATAACAGTGTACTTTACTCCAAATCTAGAAGAGATGTCAGAGGCAGAAGTACCTTTTACACAGGAGTTCCTAGGCACAATCATTTACCAGGAAATACACTGCTATTATAGGGAGAAATTCCAGACAAAAAGTATGTTTTTAAGGGTACTGCTAAAGCACAATTACCATTTCTAGATGTTTTCTATAAGAGAGTGAATCTTCATTTTTTTTTACATTCAGCTCCACATAAATTATCATTTCTCTGGACTGCAGGTAGTTGATGGGAAATTGTATATTTTTTATTTCCTTATTGTTGCCTCTCACAATATCTAGTAATGAGACAAGGATGGTCACTGTAGATGACTCACAGCAAAGGAATGTTACTCCAAAGTGACCAAGTCCCTAAAAAGTCTTATTGCTTGCAAGGGGAGTGTTAGGGATCCGGGTATGACCAGAAATGTGTGGACTGACACAGGAAGTAGTAGGCTTCAGGAACACAGGCGTAGTCAGGGCTGGAGAGGTGGAATGGTCAGACAGGCCGTTAGGTACTGTCAGGCACCGCCCGGCGGGATCTCTAGTGACACACAGAACAGGATTCCCCAGGGCGCGGAGTCTAAGCCCCAGTCTGCCTTTTCACCAGAGCCCCTGATGGTGATGGGGATGGACTTGGCACAGGACTGAGACCAGGTCGCCGCCCCTGAGTGCCCCCAACTGTGGTAGAGGGGTCCGCCGAGGGTATGTACCGTGGGAAAGCCTGACGTGAAGAGGCTGGCAGACCTGGTAACAGGGACAGATCCGTGCGGGATGGATGGATGGATCGTCTGGGTAGCGTCAGGCGTAGTCAGGCAGGCCAGGTCAGCAACGTGCGGGCAGCGAGGTACCGGAGGAGGAGCAGGCAGAGAATAGTCAGGGTCACAAGCCGGGTTCAGTAACTCACGGGCAGCGCGGTACAGAGGATCAGGCAGAAGGATGGTCAGGCAAGCCAGGGATCAAGCAGGAGAAGTCAGTAGAGGTCAGGATCAGGCAGGGTCGGCAACAAATCAGATAGTCAGCAGAACAGGAACACAGGATACCAGGTACAAGGGCTCATGGGAAACAATACACCAAGGCCCTGATCACAGGCCTGGTCCTACTTAAATACACCTCCTGCAATCAGCTTCAGCTGATGGCTGACTGCAGGAATGAGCTTCTGGTTGCTGAGAGCACCCGCTGGTCAGACCTGGTACTGCAGCCCACACAGCAGGTGAGTCCCACCACCAGTGCTGAGTCCATTCCTGACAGTACCCCCCCTCAAGGAGCGGCCTCAGGACACTCCAAACAGTCCTAAGTGAGCAAAATGTTCCACCGCCCGGGTCAGGTAACTGGCTGAATATCCTACTGCCGGAGTCAACCGGCTGGCTGGGTTTCCTGCTGGTAGACTTCTCTTTTTGTAGGAGAACCCAGGAAGGCAGGTTACTGGACACAGGATCTCCAGGAGCAGGCTGGGAACCAGTTATTGGCCAGTTTAGCTGGACATCAGAGGCTGGCATGTCAAGCTGGGCAGCGGACAAAGGCACGTCAGGCTGGGCATCGGACAGAGGGCACCGAGTCATCTGGCACGACAGCAGGCACCGAGTCATCCGGCACAACAGCGGGCACCGAGTCATCTGGCACGACAGCGGGCACCGAGTCATCTGGCACGACAGCGGGCACCGAGTCATCTGGCAAGTCAGCAGGCACCGAATCACCTGGCACATCAGCGGACACTGAGCCATCTAGCAGACCGCGGGCACCGGGTTACCAAGCTCGACAGCGGGCACCGAGTCATCTGGCACGACAGCGGGCACCGGGTCACCAAGCTTGACAGCGGTCACCGAGTCATCTAGCAAACAGCGGGCACCGAGTCATCTGGTAGAACAGCGGGCACCGAGTCATCTGGCATGACAGCGGGCACAGGGTCACCAAGCTCAACAGCAGGCAACGAGTCATCTGGCAGAACAGCGGGCAACAAGTCATCTGGCAGAACAGCGGGTAACGAGTCATCTGGCATGACAATGGGCACCGAGTCACCTGACATGACAGCGGGCACTGGGTCACCAAGCTCAACAGCGGGCACCGAGTCATCTGGCAGAACAGCGGGCACCGAGTCATCTGGCATGACAGTGGGCAACGAGTCATCTGGCACGGACAGCGGGCAACGAGTCATCTGGCACGACAGCGGGCAACGAGTCATCTGGCTGGATCGGGTCATCAGGCCGGGTAGGATCATCCGGCTGGGTAGCGTACACTGGGTCATCAGGCATCCGGGCATCAGGCTGAACAGAAGGCGGGTTCTCAGACCGCAGGCTGACTGGTTTGGATACTGGTAGGATGGTACTGGTTGGAAAGAATTTTCGCTTCTTCCTGGTTTTAGTTACTGGAGTACTGTAAGTAAACGCAGGTCTGTAAACAGATGGAGCAGCTGCAGACAGAGAAGAGCTGGAGGATGGAACAAAAGAAGGAGCAGTTGCTACAGAGGGCTTCTTTACAGGATTAAACACAGGATAGGTGCAGCGAGTGGGAACAGGGTTCTGACATGTGGTTGATAGCAGGGTATACTGGGCTGGAACTGGAGGTGCTGTCAGGAATGCAGGAATAGAGCTTTGCAGAAATAGATTAGAAGCAGGACTGGGTTGTTGTAAGCTGACTGAGGCTGGGGGTAACAAATCTGACCAGGACTGTAATACCGGTTGAACAAAACTCAGCTTACACATAGCCTGTCTGACCAAAGACTGCACTGCGTTTATGCAATCCACAATCACATGTGATGGACAAGCTGCATAATGCTCATGGAAGCAATCTGGATCATCCTCCAACAGCCATACCAGTGATTCCACTTGATCTGCACTAAATGGGGGAAAAAAAGTCATCCCTTTCAGGAGTACAGGACAGAGCCAACTCAGCACAAACCTGGATCAATGGTTGTACCTCAGAAAACTCCATGCCCCGATCCACTAGTGAATGAGCAACCCGCATGCACTCTAGCAGCTGCTCCCTGGCATACTTCTTCAGAATCTGATAGCCGTATACGCTGTCTTCCAAGACTAGCAGAGACAAGTACTCAACCTCCTTAGGATGCATCCTCCACAAACAACAAGCCAAGATGGCTTCCCTGTGTGGCCACTTCTGGTCAGGATTGGCCTTGGTGTTCTGTTAGGGATCCGGGTATGACCAGAAATGTGTGGACTGACACAGGGAAGTAGCAGGCTTCAGGAACACAGGCGTAGTCAGGGCTGGAGAGGTGGAATGGTCAGGCAGGCCGTTAGGTACAGTCACCGGGCGGGATCTTTAGTGACCCACAGAACAGGATTCCCCAGGGCGCGGAGTCTAAGCCCCAGTCTGCCTTTTCACCAGAGCCCCTGATGGTGGGGATGGACTTGGCGCAGGACTGAGACCAGGTCGCCTCTCCTGAGTGCACCCAACTGTGGTAGAGGGGTCCGCCGAGGGTATGTACCGTGGGAAAGCCTGACGTGAAGAGGCTGGCAGACCTGGTAACAGGGACAGATCCGTGCGGGATGGATGGATGGATCATCTGAGTAGCGTCAGGCGTAGTCAGGCAGGCCAGGTCAGCAACGTGTGGGCAGTGAGGTACCGGAGGAGCAGGCAGAGAATAGTCAGGGTCACAAGCCGGGTTCAGTAACTCACGGGCAGTGCGGTACAGAGGATCAGGCAGAAGGATAGTAAGGCAAGCCAGGGATCAAGCAGGAGAAGTCAGCAGAGGTCAGGATCAGGCAGGGTCGGCAACAAATCAGATAGTCAGCAGAACAGGAACACAGGATACCAGGTACAAGGGCTCATGGGAAACAATACACCAAGGCCCTGATCACAGGCCTGGTCCTACTTAAATACACCTCCTGCAATCAGCTTCAGCTGATGGCTGACTGCAGGAGTGAGCTTCTGGTTGCTGAGAGCACCCGCTGGTCAGCCCTGGTACTGCAGTCCACACGGCAGGTCAGTCCCACGACCAGTGCTGAGTCCATTCCTGACAGGGAGTTGACCAATTCCCTACATACATGTCCAGTATATAACATAACGCAAGGCTGGAAATATTTGTCTTATGTCAGAGCTGCAATATGCATTCATCTGTGGTGCCATGCCATATAATGGAGGGACCCATGGTGAAAACAGCATCTTTAGTTAGGTATCCTTGTTAGATTTTCTTTATCTGTATTTATCATTACTTGTAATAAATATTTTACTTATAAGTATTTGTGTGATCTCTCCTTGCATATATCAAATACAACCCCATAAACAGTAACAAAACAGTAGTCTTCCATTGCGAGCACCTATAACTATTACTGTTTGGAGAGCTCTTCCTCCAGTCAAAACTTTTTTTCTTTAATTTTAATTGCTGTCATTATGTCTACTGGAGTAATCTACCCTCACTATTTGTCCGATTGACTGTCAACAAGAGGGAAACTGCAGGAAAAAAATTTACAGATGTCACCAGAAAAGAAGCAGAGATGATATTTTTTCCAATGAGGACACCTGTCCTAGTGCAACTCTTTTTTATTTCCAACTTGTGGCATAGTGTGCAAAAACTAAACACCAAAGTGAACCAAAAAAAGTAAACTAATGTGTATCATACAGCTACCTTCCAATGAGGAAGGATCATTCTCTGACCCCCTGGGGTTCAAGTCTCCCCGAAAGAGGAAATGTGCTCTGGTCTACTTAGCCAAAACGCCTGGCAAACCCCACTCCTCATGATCAGTTGAAGCCAACCACTGTTGAACTAGGTTGGGAGCTTTCCCGAAAGAGGATCCCCAAGGCAGGAGAGTAATAAAACCTAAGGGCCACACATCCTCCCACTAGATTTTAAGGTAGGCATGAAGATCCCCACCCTACCGTCCTGTGTGTAAAAAAAAAAACACAAAAATAAGTGAATTAATATATATATATATGAAGAAAAAATAAAGGGCTAATGTGCAAGACAATGGCTACTCCTTGTGACCCAGTAACATAAAATCCCCCGATCTCTGCCGAAATGCCTAGCTCATGAGGCGTAGTGCAGAAAAATACTGTGGCTGTTCTGGTGCCAACTATCAGAGTCAGAATTTTCCTTCACCTTTTAGAAATGTATTCTCACTCGCTGTTATGCCCAAGGAAATAGGAAGTGCAGGAAGATCTTATTCATGGAGATAAAGAAAGCTATAAAACCTATCCAAAATGAAAAAATTTTTTTATAGTGATGGGGCAATAGGAATGGGAGGTGGGAGGGAGTGTAGCAAATGGCTGATGCTATAAGGAAGTGTGAATCCCTTCTGGATAGTGCAGCCTGAACAAGTCAGATAAGCGATCCTGTCACTGACAACAGAATAGCTAAGAGATAACTTAACTTTTCCTAGGACGTTGCTCATTTTCTGAGTGTTCCAGAAAGATGTCACTCCCTCACTGACCGCTTGCTAATTAGCACAATTTTGCACCATGGAATAAGCAACGCCATCAGGGTAATCTCACCTCCTTGATTTTGCTGCTGGATATATGACTTTATGCTTTCTCTATGATTGTTGACAATTTCACCTAAACATAGTAGACATTCCAATGCAGTTGTAATACATATGGCCAGAATAATACCATTCACATTAAATGAAAGTTAAAAGATACATAATAAAGACTGTTTTGCAAAATGTGCATTCCCCATGGAAAGGTTCAAGATGTGAAGACAAGCAGGTTATGTATTCTCAGCATCAGCTGGAACTTGGTTCTAAATCCGCTGAGCAGGAAATTACACAGTTAGGAAATGTTATTATAATATGTTGTCCACAAATTAAGTATTTTAACTTATGCAGCAGTGGGACAATAATCTTGTTAATCCAAAGTCCTAAATGCACATCTGTTCCTCTGAATTTTTACTGCACAGTTGATAAATGCTTTGAGAGGGATAGGTTAAAAGTGATGCTAAAACAAATTTCTGTGAGGCTTATTTACTAAATGAGTTTCTTTCTCTTAAGCAATGGACCAGTGTTCCTTCAGCCAGTTATGTGATAATAAAGCTCATTTCTTTTTTTCTTTACACTGGGACAGCCTCAAGGTTTTTGTTACTTTTTAATTAGAAAACACTCATGTAACCCTGTTGATGAATGTAAATGTGTTGATGAATCTCCTACAGAATATTTACAATGCTTGGAGGGAAGCAGTGTTTGTTTTCTGGTTATTATGTTAATAGCCATTTGATGGCGCATGAAGAAAATAGACTTGGTGAAGTACAATAAAAGTGACTGTTTAGTGGTTTAAATAATATTATTTAATTATTCTGAATGAAAACATGTTTTAAAATGATATAATTATCATAATTTGCTAGGAAAACAAATTATAGTCATTTTCAGTTATGTGCACTTGTTCTTACATACATTTGTACATACAATTATATTGCATTCTGTTTTTGGAAGGGGAGGACAGTTGTCCTGCATGTAGAAACAAGAGCTTCATTTTCAATGTATAAGCTACAATTTCCATTTGCAGTACCTATTGATAGTATAATTTAGTCATCTGCTAGGAAATATTCTGAATGGAAAAATGGGTAAATGCCTGTAACCCACAATGAATCAAAACAAAATCTTTATTATCTTCACAGTCAGGAGAGCAAGTACAGGACACGCTGTTAACAAGAGGATGTCAAGAGCACAAATGTTTAAATACATAGCTGAACAGCTGCTGCACACCTGTATCAATTACATCTCTTAACCCCCTTCTTCAAACCATCTTAACACAATTGTCTAAAATCAATATACATATAACAAAACGTATAGGTATAATCAACAAAACATAAACAAAAAAAAGGCAAAGAGCTAAAGAACACAAATATGAAAAAAATTATATATATAAAGCAATTGTAAACAA